AAAATAATAGCTCAAGCTTTGCATTAGGATGTAACATTAGGGTGAACAATCCTTTTTTTTTTATTTTAGGAAATTATGGGGGTGCAAACATTTTGGTTACATTTTATGACTTTGCCACATCCCAACCATGATTTGAGACATGCCCTTCCCCCGCTACAATGCTCAGCACATCCATTAGTTATGAGTTTACCCACCCCCAACCCCCCTACCCCCAAAGAATATTACTACTGTGTGAGCACCCTAGTGTTGATCAGTCAGTGCCAGTTTGATGGCGTGTACATGTGGTGCCTATTCTTCCATTCTTGTGATATACCTCACTACGGAGAATGGGCTCAAGCTCTATCCAGGAAAATATAAAAGGTGCTAGATCACTGTCATTTTTCATAATTGAGCAGTATTCCATTGTATACATATGCCATATTTTACTAATCCACTCATGGATTGATGGGCACTTGGTTGTTTGAGATAGGAACACTCTTACACTGCTGGTGGGACTGCAAATTAGTGCAACCTCTGTGGAAAAGAATTTGGAGATATCTCAAAGAGCTACAAGTAGAACTACCATTTGATCCAGCAATAGCACTATTAGGCATCTACCCAAAGGAACAAGTCATTCTATAGTAAAGACATCTGTACTCAAATGTTTATGGCAGCACAATTCACTAAAAGCAGAGGTTCTGAAAGGTGTATTCGCATAGAAGGGCTTGGATGAAATCATAGATCTTAAGTCTCCAAGTCCACTCCTTGAATGACAGATGGCCAGAATTCTAATTTCAGCCAATTCAGTAAAAACAAAACCTCTAATGGCCTATTACCCCCAAGAGTCAAAACACTTATCTGTTAGTAATTCATAAAGTATTAGAGAAACTTTCTATAATTTGACAGGTATGAAGTTAAAAGATAATTTAAGTACAAGCAATGAAGATTACTGTTGAACTCTACTTAACTACATACAACAAGAATGATCAAGTAATAAGAAATCAAAAAGTAATATTAATGAATATGATACCATATAAGACCCCTTGCTATCATATAAAATATAGTCTAAAATATAATAAAGTGTTAAAATAAACATTTCACAGAACTCTAAAGTTATAAAAATTTTCACATACATGACCTTATTCGATCTTCACAAATTCTCACAAAGCAGATACTATCCTATTTACACATGACAACCCTGAAGCTAAGAAAGCACTACAATGTTTACAGATCAGGGAGGTGAGTAAAAATCAGCAAAAGAGACTGAGAAAGAGCAAAGGTAGGAAGAAAACCAGGTGCAAATGGTATCCTAAAAGTTAATGAGGCCAGGCATGGTGGCTCACACCTGTAATCCTGGCACTCTGGGAGGCCAAGGTGGGAGGATCACTTGAGGTCAGGAATTCGAGACCAGCCTAAGCAACAGTAATACCCCATCTCTATAAAAAATACAAAAATTAGCCAGGCATGGTGGCATGTGTCTTTAGTCCCAGCTGCTTGATAGGCTGAGGCAGGAAGATTGCTTGAGCCCAGGAGTTGGAGGTTGCAGTGAGCCATCATGATGCCATTGCACTCTAGTACTCTAGCTGGGTAACAGAGCTACACTCTGTCTCAAAAAAAAAAAAAAAAAAAAAAGTTAAGTGAAAAACAGTGTTTTGAGCAGGAGGGAGTGTTCGACTCTATCAGACGTAACTGACAGGTCAGATAAGGTAAGCACTGATCACTGGATTGAGAAATGCGAAAGTCACTTGGGGCTATGATTCGAGTAATTTTAGAGAAACCGTAGAGGTGAAAACCTAATTAGGTGAGTTTAAGAATGAATTGGAGGAAACAAATTAGAGAGAACCAGAACAAAAAACTTTCTAAGAGTTTTTCTGTAAATGGAAGGAGAGAAATGAGGGAAGTAGATGAAGGGAGAAATGAGGCCAGAAGAAGGTTTTTGTTTAGTTTTCTTAAGATAGGAGAAATAGTAGCATGTCAGTAGGCGGATGAGAGGAACCCAGAGGAGAAGGGGAAATTGATGATGCAGGAGAAGGGAGGACTCCTGGGGTAATGTTCCCAAAGAGGTAAGAGGGGATGGGATCTGAGGCATAAGAGGGGAATTGGCTTAGTTAGGAGCACTAGCAGTTCATGGCAACGGTAGAAAAGATAAAGTTTGTGAATTCAAATGCAGAAGGATAGTAGATGTGGTGGCAAGATCCTGTGATATTTTCTTCTGATGGCTTCCATTTTCTCAGTGGAATTAAAGTAAGGTCATTAGCTGAGAATGAGGAGGGAAGAGACAGAGCTGGAGATAAATTATTAGACATCATTAAAGGCCTTCTTAATGCCTCGAATTTAAAGGACCGTGTATTTTCCACGGCCACATTCAGATATAAAGGTACAGGTGCTGGAAAAAACAAAGAGTTGGATTAACCAGAAGGATAGTTTTACCAAGTGAGAGAGAGGCAAGGGAACTAATGGTGGATGCAATGATTATAATAATGAGAGACTAACACATTGTAAAACAGATTAGGAGGAAAGAAAGGACAAGAAGGGGGAGAGTGACAATGAAAAAGCTGAAGATAAAAGAACTGAAGGTCCTGGTGAGATCAAAGGATTGCTGGAGTTGAATTGTTAGAGGGAGTGCACTGGGAAGAAAGGAGGCAGTGGACAGATGGATGTCTGAATTGAGTTTATGGAGAGGCAGTAGTTACTGGTAGTGATGAGGTCAAGAGATTAAATATGGGAGAGAATGATTGAGGTAGGGAACACCTAGGAAAGAGTCTGGTCTTTAATACATGCTGATCCTTTTACTTCTTACTCCTTGCCTTGTAACTCCAAAACCCATTTCTTTCTATTTGATCATATTGCTTCTCTCTTAATTGGTATGACATTCATAGATTTTTATTTTAAATGTGACTAGAAAATGACTTATTACCATATGACCTAACAATTCTACTCCTAGGTAGATACCCAAACTGAAAACATACAAAAACTTGTGCATGAATGTTCAGAGCAGCATTATTTATAATAGCTAGAAGGTGGAAACAACCCATATGTCCATTGACTGATGAACAGATAAACAAAATGGGTATATTCATACAATGGAATATTATTTGACTATAAAAAATAAATCCTGAGGGGAAGGGAAAGGGAAATGGGGAGTGATTGCTAATGGGCTCTTTTTGAGGTCATGAAATTGTTCTGGAATTAGATAATGGTGATGGTTGCATGACTACATGACCATGTTAAAAACTAATGAATTGTTAAAAAGGTGAATTTTATAGTTTGTGAATTATATCTCAAAAAACCCCATATAAAACTTTACATTTGTTCCAGTAATTAAAAAGTTTAGTTTTATATCGGTTTTACCTTAGCAATGCAAGCTGGACAAAACCAGTCTCCATCTGGTATAGTTGTAATCTTGGGTCTATGGCAGTACGTATGACAGCCTTTGTCACAGCCATCACAAAGGAGCAGCAGTTCTTCATTGTCTCCCTTTCGACAGATTTGGCAGTACTATAATACATGAAAAATCATTTAAAATTAACCCTCTGCTATGAATAATAGTTATTGGGATGTTAAACACACCATAATTCCTAATTTATATTAGTAATGAACATTCCGCTTGCTAACGAATATACAGTAGCCATACACATCTATGTATCTCTCGTTACACGGATATGGACCACATGACGGGTGAGCAGTTCTATTGGGATAAATGCACATTTCAGGTACACTGCAAAGAACAAAGCTAGAGGTTGAATGCCTGCACACACTTCAGAAGCATGTACACATTAACATATGAAATAATCAACATGACATTAGAGCACATAAAGCAATGAATAGCTTTAGAACATGGTGTTTTATTTTTTTTTTTAATGTGCTTCATCTTTTGCTTATCTTAGCATCCTCATGATATCCTGGGAAAGAAATAAAAGTTAGAGTAACTTTTAAGATCAAAATTAGGAAACTTCTATTAGTATCATAGTA